CAATTAGGCTCAGTTCTTTACCACTTACAGTATACTGTGTAACACGATAATTTTCTCATGTAGTTGATATGAGTAAAACATTTACATTCCTGAACTGTAAACTATATTGTTGAACAATATTATTAATCTTTTAAACTGGTATAGCTTAGTTAATACTTAGATATTTCTTTTTGATAAGCTGATGAAATCAATAGAATGGTACTTAACTTTCTAATATAGTGTGTTTTTAATTTGGAATATATTATATAGCTTTTATACCTCTGAAAGGAGGTCATAATATAAGCATTGGGGGCATGAGTTTCATGAAATAGTTTTCTCATAAGAAGATATGGGGAAATGCAGAGATGATTGCAGAAATGATGCAGTTGATTAGTTAGTGTGTAGTGACAGACTGAGAGTCTTCAGATCTATAGACTGGTCCTATCTGCTAATAATCTATGTGATGCAGAAGCATATGTGAGGTTGGATAAATTATTTAATCCAAAATAAGAGTGAAGTTTCTTGTGAAATTTGGAGGTTTAACTTTGTGGATGAGTAAAATTCTAGGATCCAATTCTACTTTACTTATACCACAAACTCTTCATTCAAGTTTAGAATAATACTGGGTAGGAAATTACTAAGTTTAACATTTAATTGGTTCAGAAAGGTTGGTATTTTCATTTAGTTACTAATTTTTTATTTTTCTTAGCATTCATTACAAAAAGTATATTGAATAAGGAAAGTGCATTGAAAAGCAAGCTTTTAGAAAGGATTAAGTGAAATTTAATTCAGCATGTCTTTACAGAATTCAGCTATCATGTTCTTAAAACATATTGTAAAAATAAAACCACATGATAAAGGCATATCAATTTATTCATTCATTAAAAACTAGACATTAATTAAAAAAAAAACACAAGAAAGTTTCTCATAATTGCCTCATTCCATAGAACAGCATGAAGAAACTGTGAATTCAATAAGACGAGATATCAAAGATATAATGATAAAACAAAATCATATGAAGAGTGAGATTCTTCACTTACGAAGACAAATTGAGAACCAAATCATTATCATTGCAGAATGAATAAATAAATTCAAAACACCAAGCGACAGAATCGATAATGCTGAAAATGGATTACAGGAATAGGTTTGATAAAATAGGTTTGATAAAAATTGTAGTAAATTCAGAGAAAAAATACAAAAAGATTAAGCAGTTAGAGAGAAAGTAATAGATGTGGGAAGTCAAAGACACATCAACAAAAAGTATAATTGGTATTTCAGGAGTAAGGAACCCAGCAAACACAAATGAAGATACATTTAAAGATATGCTGAATTAAATGATAAAAGACTGGAATCTGAGATATGCAAATACATTCAGTGTTCCAAGGAATTTGATATGGAATACTAATTGCCAAGACATATCTTGCTTAAGCTATAGAACTTCAAGTTTAAAGAAATCAGTGCATATGATAGTGATAGCTCTCATGAAGCTTACATTCTAGTGAGAATTGCCATCTTCTAAGATGTTAATAGTGGTTAATTCTAGATAGTGGGAATATGAGTGTTTATTCTGTATTTGATTACAGTCTTCTATATTTTTAAAAAACTAAGCAAACAACATTTTTGGGGGGTGGGGACACAGATACAGTTTCTGCTTTTACATGGTGGCATG